CCCCCCCCCCCCCCCCCCCAGAATGCCACACAACTGATCATAGAAGCGGCATGTATGGGGCTTTGACCCAGAGTGACCGTTTGCTTCCTTTGTCTTTTGGTAGGCTTGCCTGAGCTCCTTGACTTTCACGTGGCACTGCTGTGTGTCCCTAAGCCTCTGTCCATCATGCCCTGTGCGATTTTTGGCATATATATTAGCATTTCTTCTTTTTGATTGGAGTTCTGCCTGCACAGATTCTTCTCCCCATACAGCAATCCGATCCAGTGTCTCCCATTCGCAAACGAGCTCCAGCATGGAGCGATTCTGGGGGGACTCCATGGTCACCTGTGCTGCTGAGCGCGCCACGCTGACCAAACCGGAAATGAAATTCAAACGTTCCTGGGGATTTTCCTGTGTACCTGGCTAGTGCATCAGAGTTGAAAGTGGTGTCCAGAGCGGTCACATTGGAGCACTCTGGGTTAGCTCCCAGAGGCCAATAACGTCAATTTGCGTCCGCACTACCCCAAATTCAACCCAGTAAGGTCAACTTTAGCGCTACTCCCTTCGCCGGGGAGGAGTACAGAAGTCGATTTTAAGAGCTCTTTAGGTCGACGGAACAGGGTTGCTTGTGTAGACGCATCCATTATAAAATCAACCTAGCGTGGCTAAATTTGACCTAACTCTCTAGTGTAGACCAGGGCCGAGTTGCTAACTGTTGTGAAAAGAAATTGTGAAATCTTGTTGAAGGGCCACAATGAGATCTCTGGCCCCAGCTGCACAGGAAGCAAGTATGGCACAACTGTAGAAACTTGAATTAGTGACTGCAAAGACTGGGAGCCTCACAGACCAAAGATTTTTAAGGTGGCATTTCTAGCAAGCTACAAAAAGCGCAATAAACCCTTTTGCTCTTGGTTTGTAAAGCCCATCTATCAAAATTTCCTGTTAGTGATGGTGTCTATTAGAGACCTGCTGCCATGAATGGAAGTCACTAGTTAATCCAGAAGTAGTAATGTTATCATAAGTGCTGTTTTGAAAACTAATTCAGATTAAAATGTGTTAACATGGCTTAACCAACTGGGGTGGATGGAGCCAAATGGTGTCTAGTCTCAAGCTCCATCCATTCAGCTGGCTAAATCATGCTGATGCAATTTTAAAAACCACTTGCATTCAAATTTCTCTCTGCAGAAATAAGGCTAAAGGCAAGGAAGGGCTTTGCATGTAAGAGCTAGGAGCGATATGTATTCTAGCTAGATAAAGTAAGCTGGGATGTGTGGCTTTTTGTTTTTTTTATGATGCCTCATCCTGGCCTCCCTTATGTTAGAAATCTCCTTGGACAAGTACCTAGATGTGCAAGTTATTAGACAACAATATGTCTAATATGAGCCTCCAGCTAGTTCTTTGTCTCAAATAATTACAAGCACAAGAAAAGAGGCTAGGTTTTGAAAATCTGTAATTGCCTCTTTCTGCTAAAGAAGCTGGAAATGCATAGGTGGCACATTCACCTATGCAAGTTCTTCCACTATGCCATGTACCAACTGATACAGCTTATAGAATGCCTTTTCAGTCCACATTTTCTTTAGTCACTCTGAAGGGCCATAAGTTGGACAACACTGCCTGATCCAGTGGATAGACTTGCTACGTTCTGCACCTCGCTTCCGGTTGGTCTTCATTAAAAGTGGCCCTCATGGTCACAGTGGCTACTCCACCATGTGATGCAAAGTGCCACTGGCATGCCTAGTCAGTAGAACAAGGATAAAACTTTCTCACCTAGAAACTTCTTTACTTAACTACTGTGTTGCTTCTTGCATACATTAAAAGGATTCCTAAAGTATTTTAAAAAGGCTAATAGCCATGACTGCCCTGATGTAACTTGTCTCCTGTACTTTTCTCTGGGGTTGAGGATAATCTGGTTTCATAAACAGTTAGTCATGTAACATGTTAAAGATTCTAAAAATATGGCTTGTTTCAATTTCAGCTCCAAGTCCCACTACGGCTATGCACTACATGTCAATAAAATGTGTAGATGTACGGAAAAACCACCACAAAACCAAGTGGCTAATGCCTTGGGGACCCAACCAGTGTGAGAGGATCCGAGATCTTGACGAGGCAATGAGCAGACAAATAGAAGCCAATGACATTGTGTTTGCTGTTCACATCCCCCTCCCCACCAAGGAGATGAGTCCCTGGTTCCAGTTCATACTTGTTATCCTGCAGCTGGACATTGCGTTCAAGAAAAATAATGAGATAAGTATGTCACTTGTATGTATCCCCCAAAATGCTTGATCAGTACAACAAAACGTTGACCATAGAATGAATGTGTGCGTGTGTATGGGTGGGGGGTTAAATCTCTTAAAATAGTTAAATAAAATGTATTTTAATTGTCTCTATAGACAAAGTTGAGCTAGCTGGGGTACGTGCTAACAGTGAGAACGTATAAACACTGTTCCCTTTTGAAACCATCATCTTAAGGAGAATTTTAATGTCCTGAAGGTCTGTCAATTTATGGATTATTTACAGTGTATAAAATGTATTTAATCATAGAAAAATCAAAATATCCCCCAACAATACAAAAGGGAGTAACCCTGGTAAGAGCAATGTCTTCTCCAAATCCCCGTTTGCCAGATCCTACTATGTAACAAGCTGTTTGGGCTTTAATACTGCTCCCACTGAAGTCCACTGGCAACAATCCACTGACTTAGTGGAACTAGGATTTGAACCATAAAACAAAGCTCACTAGTTGAGGTCCACTATCTCCCTCTGCATGGGAGAAAGTGTGTGGTGTTTTTTTTTTTTTTTTAAAGTTCCAGAAACTATACTGGGGTAGTGATGCTAACAAGATGGTGACATTTTAATCTGACGTGCAGCATTTTACAGGATGGGCTATTAAGCAGTATGCTAGTGCTGGAATGGTCAGTGGAAAGAATAGTCAGTTAGTTATTTAAAATTTTGTGTGAGCTAGGGAGGCCCCTTCTCCTTGAAAAATAAATTGTGGGGAAGGGACAGCTCTAGCATGTTAAAGGAAGGAAAGCTAGCATAAGGAACTCTCTTCTTCTTCTTCTTCTCCCTCCCAACAAAGAATGCTGAAGCATAATTCTGATCTGCAATCAGAAATGGCCTTTTTCTTTACTCCCTCACCCTCCAAACCTCAGTTTTGCGAGCACAAATATGGAGTGGACTCTTTCATATGATTGAACGTCACCTTGAGATCACTCAACAAGAGTAAGATTAAAACAGAAATGAACATGAATCTATCCTCTCCTTTCTGTTACTGGATGTAGTAGCCTTACACTTTTGGATGATAACCAGGAATGGCCCCACCTATAAGGGCTCATTCTGAAAGACTTCGCAATGGTAAAATGCATGATTGATTTCCATTATGACACCGTTTGGAAGTCACTCCTCTAAGATCCATGTCCCAAATTATTATGTAGTGTTATTACAAATTAATCAGCAGTACTCCTAACCAAGCTAAAATCAACTGTATTAAATCTACACTTTTTTTCTTTTAGTGAGCACATATCCCTTGCATTTATAAAGTAGCTTTTCAAGGCTACTGAAATCTGCATAGGCACCATCAGAAAACCAGAGAAAGATAAGGGGGATGTTCATCTGTACTCAGCAGTGACCCTGTAACTTTATGATGCTTGCTTAAACTGGTTTTCAGTTTTCACTGCAAAAGCCAGGACCTCTTTTCACTAGTGGTCTGCAAGCTGTTTGAGCTGAACAAAAGTGTATTTGCAATAATTCTTTGTACTCAAATTTTCTAGCAGAGTTGGATTATTTTGAGGAATCTGATATTAGGGTTCTGGGAGGGAGTATGTATACAATATTTGCCTGGTGGGGGTGGGGCTCCAGTGACAAGGTTGCAGTGACTCATGTTGTTTTTGATGTAGGCTTTTCCTCTGACCAGTTCAAGTTCTAAATTTTGCCACTTGAGCCACAGGGCAAGGATAATGGGAGACTGTCATAGTTCTACCACAGTTTAATTAGTATTACTCTGCTTGCTCACTAGGCATCACTGACTAGAATACCACGAGTCAGGCATGTATGTCAGTCAAACAACTTCAGAACTTGGTCATTGACTAAACAGGGGCTTTCCTGTGGTAGAATGAAATGCTGGTCATGACACTGTGGCCCCAAGTGGACTCTGTGTAAGATGGCTTATTTTTCTCAAAGCAACACAAACTGGGTAGCCCTAAAATATGCCTTCAGGAATGCTGGTATTACACCCTTTGGAAGAAAGGAAGGCCTTATTCATGCACATCTTTATAAATGTGTTTTAGGTCTTTGATAAGGATCCAGATACTTAGAAAAAGCAGTTTGCTCTTATGTCTGTCAACTCACATGGAAAGCTGCCTGAGCTTGGCTTTTCTCTAAAAAAGGCTAATTTCTGGGTCTAAACAGACTATTCCTTTTAATGCAATGTTTACTCAAATACTGAAAACAACAAATGCTCTTGCTCAGTTTGACTGTTCTGCAAAAGATGGGGAGCATGGAGAAATCTGCCAAAGAAGTCTGAACTGGTTAAAATGGTCTGTATTTGGCTACTGAAATACGCCATGCATATTTCATTTAATTGGTCAAGCAGGTAACGACTGCAAATAGAATTCCAGTCTTATCTTAGTGCAATAAGTCTCATTCACATAAGCTGTATGAAACAAATGCTCTGTGTGAATAACATTGGCCAGTCTCCATCAATAACACAGCTGTTGAAAGAGCTTAGTTACCAGGACGATGGATGGCACTCTCTGAGGGAATGTTTGTATGCAGTAATCTGACATTTAGCTGGCTGCCAGCAACCTTGAAAGTGAGGTAGAATTAGGGGGGGAGCATTGGTGGTGATCTGGTTTCTGACCACAAGAAATCGCTTGTTTAAGAGTCAGCACAAAAGGCTTCTTTTGAAACTTGAAGTGTTACTCTATTACTGTGCAATTAGATCTTATTCCTGTCATTGAGTTGGAGAACACTGGAAACTTTTTTTTTGGAATGGGTAAAATGCCACTCAGCTCATCAGTGCTCATTCCACCATATAACACCTGGTTTCAAACCAACTGTTTCTTGGCTGACCTACAGTACATATGCCTCAACTTAGCCCAGCCATTGCCTGCACTTATGCACTTCTAAACTTTCATGTATTCTGGCCTTTTGATCCTTCGGCAGTAACTTTGCCTTCAGCAGGTAATATTCCAAGTTGGATACACTTCCAACAATGACTTAAATCCTCTTTTACTTGCTTAATAGATTTGCATTAGATTCTATCTGTTGTTCTCGTAATTTAAGTCCTTCAACTTAAGTTTCCAATCCTCAGTCCTCTCTAGTCTTAAGTAATAGAAATAACTGCCTGCACATCTTGCCGCCACCACCACATTGGTTATAGCTGAATGCTTCATGAAGGAGAGGTAATGTGCTGTATCACTGGACACAGTATTTTTTTTTTTTTTTTTTTTTTTTTTTTTTTTTTGTCTGCTGTACCACCTTGGACATAGGACTTTCTTGTTTATCAAGCTTCACCTCTTGTACATTACCTGGAAGACTGGACCATTGTACACTGATCTGTAATAATGAACATTAGCACTCCTCCTCAGACTGCTTTATATTTAACCTCTTATGCAGAGAACTGATTTACTTCTATTCACACTTAGTGAACTTGGACTTGGTTTTATTCCCAACTCCTGCTGTAAACTTGGCCAAGTCACTTGACATCTCTGCCTCCATTTCAACGTGTATAAAATGAGGAAAATATTTGAAATCTGTATATGACGTGCTTTATAAGCAGGAGGTGGTGGCAGCAGCATTTTATTACACGGAAAATCAATGGCGTGACTTTACCTATAACATTCCCTAAGTGTCTTGTGAAGGGCTTAAACCACTTTCAGCCTAATTTTAAAAAAAAAAAAAAAAAAATTGGGGGTGGGGGGGGAGGATGAGGAGACACATTTTAAGTGAATCTTAAAAATCCTAATAGATGCGAATAACTTAAGTTTCCAGTATTGTCAGCATGGAGGAAAAGATTACCATCACCACTTCTTTTTTTCTGAAGGAGATCACACCATAGCCCGTCTAGCCCTGTATGCTCCTACTGAGATTTGTATGAGCTGGCCCTTTTCTCTTCCTAGGTTGGCTGGCTTGTACTTCCATCCTTTGTTAGCTGTCTGCTAATGCAAAAACTGACAGTTTTTCCTAGTTGCTAGTGTCTTTCCAGGTTGTTCTATTAGTATGCAGCTGGCACAGACCTGTCATTCTGTGAAATGACTTCCCTATTTTTAGACTGTTTTTTGTGAGTGAAGATATCTGTACTAACAGTTTAAAGGGAATTGGGTGAAAGCTCATAGCCTTTGAATCTCTAGCCTCAAAATCCCAGACATCTTGAGCTGTGACATGGGGAATGCAAGGAGAGCTAAATCGTCTTTCTTTAGGGCTCTTGTAGTTGTGACCTGAGTTACCTTATGGATGTCCATGAAACTGTCATGGAGAAGTCTGTGACTGGTTGGAAGCCTTAGGAGAACGTGTGTACCAGGAGACAATCCTCCTTGGCACACTGCCTACTGTATAAACAAGTTTATTTTCTCATTTAGAGAGTGTTTCAAAATAATCCAGTGGGGCAGGTGAGATTATTATTCACCACCTCTTGGTATTGACAACTGAGGTGCTATATGAGGATGTGAAATCTGAAATCTCCATTATCCATACAGCATCCTGTTACGTTGACAATGGAATTGCATAGCCACCTTTTTTGTGCACAAGTGTCCTGTGCATCTATGGAAGGTTCATCTAGTCTGAGCATGCAGTGGGGGAAGTGGAAGGGAAACCCTCGCAACTACACATGCTTAATCTGAATCTTAACTATATACGGTAGCCTGTTATAGGTGCCTGGCCAGTCTCCTGTTTTGACACTAAAGGAGGTGGCGGATACCATGTTTGTGTGTGACCCCACCCACCTCAGTTTTTTGCAGCCATACATGGTTCTGAAAACTGGAGAGTTCTATGCAACATGGAGAAACTGAATAACTAACTCCCTGAACATTGATATTTTGACAAGCTGAATATATTTATGGGTACTCAGCAGCACCTTGTGTGTGTGTGTGTGTGTGTGTGTGTGTGTGTGTGTGTCTCTCTCTCTCTCTCCCGCTGAATAAGAAATCTCTCCTGGTGTCTCTCTCTCTACCTCCAGTATGAAGAAGATACTACCCCGTCTTCCACTCCTCTCTACCTTTCCCTTCCGATACATGACTCTTTTTAATTCCCTTTTATAAGAAGGATGTGTGGCTGCCTCTCCAAAGCCTTGAAGGTGTTGCCTATTATCCTGGTTCTGAATATGTTTTGGGGGATGGGCTCCTTATTGTCATCCCTAAAAGTACCTGGCGCTATCTTGAATGGGCTCTATTCCCATCCTGCAGCTGTCTGAGCCCAAAGAGCACTCCATGTGGATCTGGAGTGGGGGCACCCAAAAGCCAGGAGTAGAGAAGACAAAAGACCACCAGAAGATGAGCCCTTCATGGAATATGAGAGGGCCAGTTGGGTGAGACCTTTTTGTTTAGAGGTCTTAATATTTCTTGTGACTTCATCTGCAAGGTCCCTACCCTCTATATTTAAATCCCTCCTTGAAGACTCAATTTTTTGCCATGCTAAATTCCTCATAGGCAACTAACTTATACCAACTAACCAAAGAAACACAATTTTGACTACCTTTGTACGTTGTATCTTTTTCCAGTGCCCCTTTCTCAGTTCACCTCTCTAACTTAAAGTATAAGTTCCTCAGGACCGATATTGTGCCTTCTTTCTGTTTAGAAAGCACATACTGTGTATTGGGCGCTACAAGAAGCGAGTAATATGTTGATGGGGAGTCTTTGTTCATTCCTCCAATGATCTGTCTTGTTGACTATTGAGACCTGTGTCTGACATCCAGTTTTAAAACCATTCCCTTGTCTTGTGGCCAAACATAGTGTGGTGTCTGCTTTTGCTCCAATTTCCACACCATGCTACAGTATGTTAACTATATACATGGTTCCTGTTTTTTGTTTTGGGTTTTTTTATCTGCAAGAACATCAGGAATGTTATCCAGTTGAACAAAAAGTATGAAAGAACAGTTAACTGTCTAAGGGTGTTAGTATAGCCAATACAGGTAGAGTTACAAACCTTTCACGGTTAAAGTAGCAGAAATTTAATTTTTTTTCTCCCCCAAAAATAGCTGGTTTCAGTGAAAGGAGTCATTAGTGCACTCAGGTGGGGAATCCAAGTCTTTTTTTCTTTATACTGTATTGGTGTGTAAGAACCTTTCTGTTCTTGTCAATTTTGAAGGGACACTTCAGTCAGGTTGCATCTCTGATGGGTGGAGTAATCCCAGACTATTGCTTAATAAAACTCTGAAAACTTGAAAAGTCAAATATATTCTGGATTTTACTTCTTTGGCATTTTTCTTGGCTTGGACAAAAATATACTAGTTTTTTGCTTTCTGGTTTTCATGACCAGTGATAGTGCAGCAGTGTTTTAGTGTTTAAAAACCACTTCAGTTCCAGTGGGAACAGTTTGCAAAAATGAAGTCCTGAATAGTCCCGTTTTTATAGTTTTGTAAAATGGGGTGTGTGGGTGGGCTTTTGGGGCCCAGTTTGACTGGACTATTTAGCCATTATTTGCTGAAACGCTAAAACAGTGGACCTGAGCTCGTGTATTCATATTTCAAGGAAGCTTAACTAATGCAAAGATGGCTCTGGGGTATCAGAACTCCTGATCAATCTGGAAGACACAGATCACACATGCGACAAAAACAGCTCAGAAAAAACCATGTTGGCGTCCACATTAAAGCTTGAGAGAGCCACCTCCAAACACACTATAAATAGCAAGTCTAAACCACAAACCCATCCACACCCCTTCCCAGCATTCTGTATGAGTGTACCATTACATAATCCCAACAAAAACATAACTCTGAAAAAGATGACACATGCGTAGGCCAAGCAGAGCTTCAAGAATCTGTTCTTATTCTGTTGTAGATTTGAAATATCATCCTTTGTAAACTGTAAAGGCCAGTTTCTCAAAAGAGCACAGCATCCATGGTTGGGGCCAGAGATTCAAAAGAATAGGTTGAGTGCAGAGTTCCTTGTCAATCTGCTCCCATGTGAACTATATAAGTGAGGTGGGATTAGGTGGATTTTTGTTTTGAGATCCCTTTTGCACAACATCTCTGTTCATGGTTTGTATATAAATGGCCTTTCTAAACCTCTTCAATGGGGTAGACTAGATGGAATGCATATGGCAACTTATCACGTGGTGAGATTTCTGATCTGGTCTGTTGGCAACCATGCCACCTTCCACTTCTAGGGAATTTCAAAGCAGATGCTGTTTGTGGTAACCTGTACTTTGAACTACTACTGCTCCAGGCCTGTGCACTTTCTGCATCTGCTTCGAAGTGTGCAGTGAAGAAAGATTATCTTCTGAGAAAGACATTAGAAATGATGAAAATGGACACGAAAAGAATAACAGTGGGAGAAAAGCAGAAGAGAATGTCCATTTAAGGTGGCTTTTTTTTTTTTAACATGTTCTATCTTACAATACTTAATATAAGCTCCTGCACACACAGGAAGTGGGGTAGGGCCCGTTATTGAGTGAGTTCTGATTTCATCGATCACTATAATACAAATTCAATTGCGGTCATGGAGTCATGAGGCAGCAGAGCCTTGACATAGGATGCTGGATCATGTGTGTGCCCTAGGACCGGTGTTACATAAGACTACAAGTTAGCAAGAATAGAAAAGAATACCCAACACTCATGACCAATAAAGATTGGTCACCCTGGACTTCTAGGACTCCTACTGGAGAACAGATAAACATCCTATAGAGGGTAAATATCCATATGAGTCGGAATGGAGGGATTTCTATCACCATATGTAAATCAGTTTATCCTTTATATGTTCTGAAATATTTATTCTTGCACCTTTTTTGTTGCATACTGCTCCTTTCATAATAAGCTTGGTTGTTACTCTTGCAGAAGACAATGCAGAAGTTACGCTTGATGTGTCCTTGGCCTATCGTGATGACATGTTCAGTGAATGGAAAGAAATGGCACATGCGATAGAGACCCGAAAGCTAAAATGTTCTTTTGCCTCTCCAAAAGTAGGTATTGCTGGTTTCTATGAGTTCTTTGCAACTGGACACAATTCTAACAGCTTTCAGCATTACCAGGTTTCTGTTGGGTGTACAGTAAGTGGATGGGAGTTGCAGAGGGGAATGGTGCCAATAAAATCGGATTTCAAAGATTCCAAGGCAAGAGTGACTGTGTGTGTTCTCTAAGGAATGAAATTGGGATCCCAAGTCGTCACTAATCCTGGGGTCTACATTGATTTGTAATGCGTTTTTAAGTCTATTTTAAGAAATAATGGTGGTGGTTGATTTTGTTTAAATCACTATGTTCTGGAAGGAAAAAGTGTCATGAACAAAATTTTGTTTGGGGGGGAGGGGGGAGATTCCTACTACAATAAGGAGTTGTGGACACGACTAACAATTGTGACTTGGTCGGTTGCGTGAGTGGGTACCTGAGGTTGAGTAATAGTAGGGGAGGTGGGAAGGAGAAGGAAAGGTAACTTTTTTTTCCATTTTGTGATTCTAGTATTTGGGGGAAGATAACTGTGACTCCAGCTCTTTGTGCTCCTGGTGAGGAGTCTGAAAAGGCATTTCCTGCAGCAAATCACATCCATGGTGGTGGTTGAATTCGTGTACGAGAGTCCTGTTTGGGACCGGGGCCCCACTGTGCTGGGTGCTGTACAAACACAAAACAAAAAGTTAATCCCTGCCTCAGTTCACAGCCCTGTAAGACCAGAAATAATTGGTAGATGTAACAGACGGATGGGGGAAGCACCAGGAAATAATGAGATAGTATTAACATGATCGGCAGTGGTGTTGTACCAGCTGACTGTCCATTGTCAAGTTGGGTGGTGGTTTTGGAGGTTGTGGGTATGAGTAGGCTTGATGGCAAAGGAGAGCTTTAACTAAGAATTTGAAAGAGATCAATGAGGTAGCTTTGCAGGTGTTTGTAGGGAACTATTTCCAGGAGTAAGAAGCAGTGTGGGGAGAAAGCATGAAGGTGTTCATTCAAAAACTGAACACATGGGCATCAAAAGCTGGCAATTGGCAGAATTGACTAGGAAAGTGAAGACAAGTACTCTTGCGTTTGATGCATGGAAAAGGAGCAGCCAGCGAGGGATGCAAATACTGGGTGATTTGGACAAAATGATGAGTCAGGAAAATGACCTTTGCAGCAGTGTTTTTTGAATGGATATAAGTGGGGCAAGATTGGCCTTGACAAATGCAGTGGAGAGGGTGTTTGAAGATCTGGACAAGAATCTTAGATGTGCGGATGGAGAGGCTGTATCTTCAAGATATTACACAGGAAGAACTGACAAAACGTAGCCTGGATGTGAGGATGTGTGTTTATCTAGAGTGCTTAACTCTGTGTTGGTCATGTTGAGCTTAAGCTGACAGCTGGAAGTCCAATGAGGATATGTCTGAAAGAGAGGCTAAGATTTTACTCTCTAAAATAGAGAGAGCAGCAGCAAAGAAATGATGGTGGCAATCTCACTCATTCACAAATGCAAGTTCCAAGAGGCAAGATATAGAGGGAAAAGACCTGGGCAAAGCCCTGTGGGACCTGCCCACCCTCCCTCCCTCCTCCTGAAGTTGGAAAAGGATCTTTCAAATGACATGCAGAAGGCTGATCGGAGAGAGGGAGAACCTGGAAAGGACGGAGTCACAAGACAGGACAACAACTTCAGCATAGCTAACCATGCTGCTCCTCTTGAAGGTGGCCAATGGGTCAAGGAGACTGAGAATGGAGAATCAGTTCTAATTCGGGTAGGAAGAGGTCATTAGAGGACTGAGAGCTGTTTCAGTGAAGTGCAAGTGGTGGAAGCTTTCTTGGAGAAGTTCTAGAATGGAATTGGAAGAGACACTCCCTGCAGGGCTTGTAGACAGCACATCTGATTGATGAGCTTGGGGATGAAGGGGGTGGATGAAGTAGGAGCTGGAGAGGCAAGTGGGGTCAAGGATATTTTTGAAGATGGGAGAGACTAAAGTATGCTTGTATTGTGAGAGGAAAGAGCCAGAGGAGAGCGAGAGGTTAAGGAGAAGGGTAAAGAATGACTGCGGGGCAGAGATTGAGGATGTTGAGGGATTGTATTGAGTTTATATTTAATGGCCACTTTGCATATATAAGCAGGAATAATGCATAAAATAACTGTATTTAAGTAAAAGTGGTAAATATCAGGGTCGATAAAATTTTTTGAAAAAATCAAACTTTTTTAAATCTGTTTTTAAAACGAAATCTGAATTTAATACAAAATACGTTTTAAGGCTAAACTATTATTTAAATATGCTGAATCCCTGATGGAACCTCCATCTAAAACTCTGAGTTAGTCTTCTTTTCTATATGAAGGATATTTTTCCCCAATTCTAACTTTCGAGGTAGTTTTTTATAAATGTGGCACAAACAGATCATGTACTGTATTAAGGGCGTGATCCTGTGGAGGACTCTGGGGCTGCGTTATTGTGCACAAGGCAAAGTCATCGCAGGCATTGGGACCTGGCCTCTGATTCCAGGAAACACCATCATATATCCTCTCATCAGGATCATTCAATGAGCCCATCTAGTTTCTCATGAAGCTGTAACAAGCTGAACAAAAATTCAAGTGTGTAGCTTTGTCACAGTCAATGCTGCAAACATCGCAAAGATAAGATAGCAAAGGGAACCTGAAACTTGACATATGGGTGCAGTGCTCATTTGAGGCATCTTTTAGCCAAGTACAAATCTAGGAATAAAGGAAAATCATGTTGAAATTACAAGATACTTCCATAACAACCACTTTTGTCTCAACTTCACTGAAGAGAGCAGGAGGATGCAAACTAATTCTCCCCCAAGATGTATGATGGAATTCGGTCAGCTGTTTGTTAAGAACTGGCCCATTCCGATGACAAGTTATGAAGAAAAGCATGGCAAAATAGATGGAACTATCACAGCCAAAGTAGGCAACGTCGAATGTAAGGGAAAATGTAAGCGGTGGGATTCAGTATATTCAGTTTCTGCAGTTACCCAAGGCTATGGAAATAAAAAGTGTTGCTGTATTGCTGATGCTGTTTTCAGGCAGTAAAGAAGTGGATGGATTAAGCACTTAATTTTCTTGCAAATATTCTGAACCAGAGTATCAGGATAGATGCCTAACTGCTGAAGATCATATTACTATGACATCGGCATCTAAATATTCACCCATCAATCATGCCAACCATAATAAATTGAAGGGCTGGAGATGAGCCATTCAAGCAGTGAATGTTTGCTGCTGATCTTTTAAAGAAAGTCACACCACTTAACTGATTTAAATCACTAGCCAAGCACTTGGAACCATAGTTCGTTGAAGTTCTAAACCAGCTTTTGACAGCAATAGTCTCTTCTGCAGGCACAGAGTATTTTCTTCATGTGAACTAATTCTTGTGAGGTTGAAAAATCAATTGGGAGTTAAAATAGGAAAACTTGTCTGTCTCTTCCAGGCTGTGAATAAAAACACAAGGGAGGGGATCAGATCTCCTAGTTAAGTTTTGAAAAACTTTGAAAACAGTCTCTTGAAAATGAGACCACGGGTAGGTATGTCTACACTAGAAACACTGTACCGTGGCAGTGGAGACACTACAGTGACAGCAGGGAGGGTTCTGTTGCTGAAGTAAATCCACCTCTGAGGCCTGGTCTACACGGGGTGGGATCGATTTTAAGTTAAGCAACTTCAGCTATGTGAATAACGTAGTGGAAGGTGACGTACTTAGATCGACTTAGCGTGGTGTCAACTGCTGCTGCTCACCCCGTCAATTCTGCCTGCGCCTCTCGCCGAGCTGGAGTACAGAAGCCGACGGGAGAGCGCTCGGGGATTGATTTATCGCATCTAGACTAGAAGTGATAAATCGATTTCCCTGCTGGATCGATCGCTGCCTGCCGATCCAGCTGGTAGTGAAGACATACCCTGAGAGGTAGTAGCTAGGTCATCTGAAGTGCTGTCTACATTGTGTGGCTTAGTCATCTTAACTCTGTCTCTCAGGTGTGACTTTTACACACCCCTAAGCAATGCATCTAGGTTGACCTAACTTTCTAGTATAGAGCAACCCCTCAGGTGAGTAGGAAGTTAAGGTCAAGACACTTTCACTTAAGCATATTTGAAAATTTTCCCAGGCTCACCTGAAATAGTTTTGATTCACTTACTGCAGCTAATTCCTCTGTTCCTTTAATAAATCATTTAGTTGTAAATGTGAAACATCTTGTGATAAGAGAAGATTATGTATCCAAAACATTTAAGGTTGTTTTTGTTTAATAAAAGCACACTTTTTGTGCAGTTGTTTTAATGAAACTCCAATAGCCACCCTAATGCAGATCAACACACATGAGTACAACTTCAATTGTCCAGTAAATAAGGAATATATCCGTCACCATTTTCTAACATACTAAAAATCTGAAAAATATCAACCTATATAAGTGCTTACACTATAACTATATACCTTTTGTTTATCCTCCTAGGTAGCAAAAAAGTACCAGTCTAATGTAAAGGCTCTAATTGTAAATAAACATGTTTTAATGGCTATATCAACCAATGAAAATGTACCTTTCTTTAGAAAATTAACTGAAGTACAAATGGAGAGGTTGATTAAAATCAGTTATTTTAAGCATGATTTAAGTGACCAAGTGAAAAGCATAGTTTTTTTTAAATCAATCTACCCTGATAAATATTAAGCAGTAATTGATCTATTAATAGGGTTTTGCTGGCAGTTTGACAAACAATGCTGGTTAATTGATTAGACCTATTATCCCTGCTTAGCATCTGATATTTGAATATTAGATGCTGCATAACTACTTCCTGCTTACATTTTTTTGTCTAAATGCTTAATGCATTAAATATCAATTACAGACTTTACATCTAGGGGTCTAAATCAGATTTCTCTTACTTACTCTATTCACTACCGGTACTTATTTATAAGTCATTCTGTGTGAAAATTGAACATTAAAAATGCATGACTTACATTCTAAAACTGCTACACAATAAAATAACTTTAAAAATGAACATGCCTAAGTACACTTGATTGGATTGTAGTGATCTGTGCTGTGAAACAATTGGAATAATTTAACAGTACTGATATTACTGACTAAACTAGTCAGTTAATTGCAGCATTAATGTGCACCACTAAACTCTACTGGATGGAACTGGAACTGTTCAACCATGTGTCAGGCCCTGTTCTGCTAACTGAGAGTCTCCTTTATCTCCATTCGGAAAAGCCAGACCAAGATTATTTGTAACCTACCCTTGCTACCACAGGAAGTTCTGAGTAGCTATAGCATAGTGACACCCATGAACTTCTTTTTGGCCACGGATTAAAACTGGCAAAAGCTATAGTATTGAGGCAAACTGTCACTGTTCAGGAAGAAAAGGGCTCAACATGTTCTCATCACTATGTATCAACCAGTTGTCTCTGAAAATATAAATTGAGCTGCTTCTCCATGTGGATTTGCTTTCTTTTTATATTTATTAGTACTTCCTGGTTCCCTAAAAGGGGAAAGGTTGGGATGTGATGAAACTAAGTCTGTGCTGTACATCTCCAAATTAGAGTCCCTGGAAGGACTAGTTGCTGCTTTACAACTATCGATTTATCATCTCTGAAGTCCAAATAAAAGTGATCAAAGCTGACCCCTTTGCATTTTCCCTCTCTCTACTATTCCGCTAGACCATAGAGCATGAAGGCCGACACTATGACTGTGATGCACTCCATTTCATGGAAATTGGAACTGTGGCTCACAAATTCTACCTCCTCAACATTCGACTCCCTGTGAATGAAAGGAAACTAATTAATGTGGGAATTGGGGAAATAAAGGATGTTCGCCTGGTGGTAAGTGTGCATGTCTCATTTCTATCTTTACTCTGGGCTCCCGTCTCTAGAGTAGGTGTTTAATGTAGACTCACTGCTGTGTCAAAGGTGGGAAGATATTTGTAGAATCCAACCTTTTATTGGGTTTATGATTTTGCTGTGGTAAAGTAACCCATGACTGATAGAGAAATGGGAAGGAGTTTTGCTGTTCTGTACAAAACCACAATTGCCAATTGCTCTATTCCCTAGTAAGAATATAATGAGGATATTATTGTCTAAGGTCAGTAAACTTGTATGATTCTTATTGTCAATGCAATTCCCACTGGATCTCTTCTATTACTATTCTCTAGCTATTATCCCTCCCCTTTCCCACCATGCTGACTACACTAGTGGGATAATTCACTGCTATTCTGGTCTACTGGTAATTGCTTCCTTGACTGACTCCAGAAGCAGGCAATTTTATTATGCCTGACTAACATTTTTCTATTGCCTACAGTCTGGCTTTGGATCAGAGTTTAATTTAACTGGAAAAATATGCCTCCTATCACATGGCCACTTTAGGCATAGAACTTAAAATAAGGGATGAGAGGAAATAAGAGATCTGGAATAATAGCACTTGAAGAGGAAACCCCTTTAATCATGTCACCTTTGATTTTAATTTAAATGTGTTATGTGTCCTTGTCTCTGCCTCATTTCAGTCTTAAATAATTTTGTCCATCAAGGTGCTGAGAGCCTAAATAGTTCTCCTGTTTACCACCATTTCATGCAGTAGAGCTAGTCCCTCTCCTCTCACTGTTTTTGGCTTTTGAGCGGCGCTATTTCTGGAGCAATGATCAATTTGCCTATTAGCTCCGAGTATTTATCGGGGTTTCCATCATGTATATCCTCATTCTGCATTTAATATTAAGTTGACTAATTTTCATGTTAGAATAAATTAATTTTGTTTAAATGCATGGCAACTTTCATTGATTAAATGGTATGCAAAAATATACCTATCAAACACCAGTAATAAGAATCTGTTTTTTATCAATTTCTGGTTATTTGGAAATTGAAGTGGTGGAATATTTGCATTAGTTATCAGGAGTCCTAAAAATTCTACTTGGACTGAATGGTCAGGACACCCATTAAACAGCAGTGTACAGCTCTTTCCATTTTGTCCAACAGTTCAGCTGTGCATTTCACAAGCAATGCTCTTTAATATTAAGTGGTTGTAGTTTAGACTATTGCAATTTCTGTCAGGCCCTGTGACTATAACAGGATAATGCAAATCTGATCTTGTCTGTAAATAAGGAAAGTGAAATATTGTACAGCTGCCATGTTTAAACTTGTCTCCTCAGAGTATCCATCAAAATGGAGGTTTTACAAAGGTGTGGTTTGCAATGAAAACCTTCCTCACGCCCAGCATCTTCATCATCATGGTTTGGTATTGGAGACGGATCACGATGATGACACGCGCTCCTGTCCTGCTGGAAAAGTGAGTAGAGGAGTAACTCGCTGTGATCCAGACAACTTGTAAGATTTAGGCCAAAATGTATGCCTCATGCAAAGCCTGGGTAAACTGGCCATGTGCTAGATTGCCAACCCTGTGGATCCATTTTCCTTCCTTCCCCACTCTTAGCCAAGCCAATGTGGCAGCAGAGCTGCTCTTGAACCTCTGTTGCAGTCTTTGTTCTGCAATAGTCTGCATAGCTGATACATTCCTCCTATGTGTGCGTGACTAGACCCTTCTGCCATTCTCTCACAGCAATCATGGAGCCACAGAATTTGCCTCCCAAAACTTTTTGGTGGTACACGGGAAGCCCCTGCAGGGCTGTGTAGCAGACAGTGTCTGTACCCTCTGTGTCAGTTCCCCAAATTCTGATCTCTATCTCCTAATATGGCAGAAATACGCTAGGCTGCTGCATCAGGGTCCCCTCTGACTGTGGGTGCATGTGTAGGATTAGCACCATAAGAATTTGACTGCCCAACCAGTCCTTTGAAAACAGCAACTGGTTTTCCATTTTGACTCCTGAGCATGGGCTTTGTTTTGAAATGGATACATTTCTTGCCAGTTACTGAGTCACCCTTCATTAACAGTGTCTCTGTGGAGGCGGGATAACAGGACTGCTATGTGGGTGGGCGAACAGGAAGGTATTGTGGCAAAAAGGAGGAAACCTCTACTTCTTCATGAAGTTTGAGCTCCTTTGGCCTAGTCCTCTTGGTCCTTTCTTTGAAATGGAAAGGGATTCTGTTCTGTCTGCTTCTCCAGGGTGATCTTTGCTCTTGGGATCTCCATGACGTTCATAAATATCCCAGTAGAGTGGTTTTCCATTGGATTTGACTGGACTTGGATGTTGCTCTTTGGAGATATTCGACAAGGAATCTTCTATGCCATGCTTCTGTCATTTTGGATAATCTTTTGTGGCGAGCATATGATGGTGGGTGTGACTATAGAGTAAAGAGTATCTCGTTCCCTTTAGAAATCCAATAAATTGTTCGTAGCATATAGGGAGAAAGTTACCAGCCAGACTTTCCCACTGGTTTAGATGTATATATCAAAGCATCTCCTGGTTTTACAAACCCTCTCCAAGAGCAGTTGCAGCATCAGTGGTTGCCTTAGACAAGCTCCTCTGGTGGATACTGGATATTTGCAAAGCAACAACTTGGAGTGTTATGCACATTTTTCATCCGATCTCTTCCTTGGAAATAGCATAATGCTCCAATGCCAGACTGGCAGAACAGTGTTAATCTATGGGCTTGGCTACATGGTGCTTTAGCCCACACCAGTGGGCTGTAAATTCTAGATCACACCAGCATGTGTCACACTAACTGGCCTGTGTGGACGCTGCTGGTGGGCACTTAAAGTTCCCTACTGCCTGTTAATGTACCGCATAGACAAGCCCTAAGTTTAGCAGAACTCTTCACCTGCTTTCCTCCGGATGGACACACTGCTTGCTAATATCCCACAAATAGAAATGTACAGATGCCCTCAAAGCTTAGAGGTTACTTATCAGTAACTCTTCTTTGGGAGTCACCTCTGTGTGTTCCCACTACTTGCCCACCTTTCCCTCTACACAGAAGTCTGACATCAGTACTGTGTGGTTTGGGAGAATGAACAGAGGCCGTTGCGGGGGATGGGGAGGGACTGCATTCCCATATGTAGGGTAGGGCAGGGGTGGGCAAACGTTTTGGCCTGAGGGCCACACTGGGGTGGGGAAATTGTATGCAGGGCCATGAATGTAGGGCTGGGGCAGGGGGTTGGAGTGCAGGGTGTGGAAGGGGGTGCAGAGTGCAGAAGGCTCAGGGCAAGGGGTTGGGGTGCTGGAGGGGTGCGGGGTGTACAAGGGGACTCGGCAGGAGGTTGGGGTGTGGCAGGGGGCTCAGGGCAGGGGGGTGGAGCAGTTCTGGAGGGCCCTCTGGGGAGGGCAATGATGTCTCCCTCTCAAGCTCTTTTATGTATCCCCAATGAACCTGGCTTCCCAATGAACTTATGCAGCTCAAAATCTGGGATGCCATATCCCACCATGGAAATGCACAGAGGTGACTCAAAACAGCACCTAGTAAGTAACCTCTTTCTTGACTTAGGAATGTCCTTTGCTATCCGTCTCACTGGGTGCATAATTCAGTCACTTTTTTCTTTTTTCCATGGCTTGATTCATTAGGATCAAAATGAACGAAATCATCTTTCTGGATATTGGAAACAGGTTGGGCCCATAGCTGTTGGTGCCTTCTGCCTTTTCATCTTTGACATGTGCGAGAGGTAATGGAGACTTTTTTTTTTCTCTTACACTCTGTAGTGCTAATACGATTGTGCTCTGATCTCAGGTGCTGTCCTCTTCTTACAGGGGCAATTATTTGGATACAATTGATCTTTACACTGGGTCCATGTTGGTTTGCCTTTTTCTAATAGCTTTATTGAGACAAGGATTGAAAAGTTGGTACAAAGGCTTAGCACTTTTCAGACCATTTGGGTCTCCCCCTGCCAACACTGGTATTCACCAGCCACCTTTCTGTGCTTTTTGGGGAAGGGAATGGCAAGTCCCTTTTCCTCAGACTAGATATTCAAGTCGTTAGCCCCCTTTATAACTCAATTTCCTCCAAGCCCAGTGGTCAATTTCTTAGACATCCCAGTAGCAATTTCCCCAATTCAAGTTTTCCCTTCCAGATCAGATTACATTTAAGTAATGCAGACTTTTTACTGGAAAATGACTGACTGAAAGTGAGAGAAAGAGATAAAAGGTAGCTCTTTGCCTGCGTAGCCATATAAGTTCACAACGCATGGAAATATTACCTGTTACAGGACAAAAAAATGTTTTTGACTTGTAGTTCAAAGGGTATATTGAGCAATCTCAGAAAGCTGCACTGGAACAGTGAGGTGAGTTTCAGGATGAAAATGCAGGGGTGTGTGTGTGTGTGTGTGTGTGTGTGTGTGTGTGTAAAATGAGGATTTTATCCAGCTCTGTACCCATTGTGGGCTAAAATACAATTCCTTACAGTATCACTTCATTGGTATGTGTATCAAGACATAAGTTAGTCCAGTCTCTTATATATGAAAGTTTCATCCCTTTTTCCTGTCTTAACATTTACATGGAAGATTTTTATTACATGTATCCTATACATTTCCAACAAACACTTTTTTTTTTTTTTTTTTTGAAGCAATGTGGAGTCATCATAATTCTGCATAATTGAAAAGGAGGTTTAATACTGTGCAAGTGACGAGAATTCCTTCTCAGCTAGTGTGCTTGACACCATAAACAATACATATTTTAAAAATGCTATCACTTGCATAGCTGATGCAAGTCACTTTGGACAAGCAAGGTACAGTCTGCCCCAATGCTGACAGCAACTGTCCAACCATTTGCTTCACCATTTTTCTTGCAAAGAGACAAGAAGGCTTTTCCTTTGGCCTTCCTTTTATAGTACTGTGAAGTTGTGCTGAAACAGTTTTTGTAAGATTACATGTCCACTGGAATGTAAACTGAAGTCTCCCCACCCACCTCCAAACACACTCCCAAATTACAAAATAACATGACTCATTTTTCCAAACTGTTAAGTTAGATGTATAGGAATGTGTATTTTACGGTATTTTTGACTCTTTGCACATGAATTCTGATTGCCCTGAATTCTTTTTTTTTTTTATTTATTTTTTTTATTTTTTAGAGGGGTACAACTGAAAAATCCATTCTACAGTATCTGGACCACAGATGTTGGCACGGAGCTGGCTGTATCCTTCTATCTGTTTTTGTGCAGTAGCATTTATTTTGTATTAGGTTTTTGGAGTGAGAAATACATTTTTAGTAACTACAAATTTCACTTTCTCAAAGTACTTATTGAACCTGATGAAAAGCCTGTTCACTTTAGTAAAATGGGACTAGGAAATTGGTTTCTGACTCAAATATAGTGGAGGATCCAGAGTATCCTTTGAATGAACAACTTTATGGCTCTATAGGGGGACACTTCTAAAAATATTAGTGCAGCATGTAGATTTTTGCTGCAAGAATTAATTTTGAGATTAGTATTGAGATAAGGGAAGTGATTAGAAAAATGAGCATCTGCCTCAAGCTGCAGAAAGTCTAGGAAATGGCACATCTTGAGTTAGGGTTTGAGTATTAGTGATTCTAGAAAAAAATCTTATCCTCTCTGAACCCTGTCTAAATTGCACCCTTTATGCTATTCCCTCTCCTGGTCTGAACTAGAGCAGTTTTTTCTCTGGGGCAGTTCATTTCATCGCTGACACTTGGAAGCGTGGTCCTACAGCATTTATACAAATTGCTTTTTAAATTTGCCTGGTCACGCTGGAAGTGCTTTCAGCGGCATTTAATTTTTATTACCAGGCTAAGATAAGGTAATGTGATTAGTTTCACTTCCCCAGCATCCCAGTCCTCTTGCAGAGTCGCCAAGATCGCATGTTGGTTGGTTATTACTTCTTGTCTTCTCTGCTAAGCCCCGTCTCTTTGTACCAGCAGAGCAGAAGTGACAATTCCAGCTTAGCCTTTTTAGCCTGCAGGAGTTTTAATATTTTATCCTCGTTAACACTATGTTAAGTGTTTGGGGAACAACTGAAGCATTGGCTCTGGGACTGAGCTGGGGGAAGGGACCGTGAAGCATATACCCTCACTCAGACGGAAGCTTCTATTGAATACACACTAGAAGCCTGAATTAGGATTATTGCGATAATTAGTTTGCTTTTGTAAAGTTCTAATTACCTGAATAATATTTTCTTCAATCTCCTGCTTTGTCAAGTAGTTGTTCCCTTAACTTTACTGCTCAGATGGCATTTATTATAGTTGCAGGAATCTGCCTTTGCCTCTACTTCCTGTTTTTGTGTTTCATGGTGTTTCAAGTGTTCAGAAACATTAGTGGGAAACAATCCAGCCTCCCAGCAATGAGCAAGGCTCGCAGGCTTCATTATGAGGTTAGAAAACCCTTGTTGGATTAAAGTTGTCATGTGCATGCGCTCATTGCTTTAGTATTCCAAAAAGGCGACTGGTGATCTACCAGAAAAACTGTATCCACCCTCATTAGCTTTTTCCATAATTTAGAAAACAGCTTTCTCATGCTGCCAAAACCACCCTAATGTCAGCTCACAAAAAGGCAATAAACTTTTCATTTGTTCTGATGTTTAGCCCCCACTAATGCTTTCAATCTTCAAAGTACTTTACAAACACTAACCCGCACAACGTACTCGTAGGCATTTACTCCCAATCAGCTGTTTTAATCTTCTGAGTGGTGTGGCCCGGTGGTAAAACCTTTTGAGATCTACTGATGTAAAGCATTATTATTACAGATGAGGAAAATGATGCAGGGTACTCATGTGACTTGCCCAAACCACTTGAGAGTTTGCATCGGAACAGGATAAAAGATCAGGAGTTTCTGGCTTGCCATCCTCTCCTTAGACCACATTTGTCTCTGGTCAGAGCTGTACTCATTCCTCTTTAATTGCTGTTGCAGAGCAGAAGGAGGAGCCCAAATAGAGTTGCAGTCAAGCCAAGAATGCCTGTTGTTTTCTTGGTGATAAAGATTTGTGTGTCCATAAAACTTTGGTAGAAAATGTTCTGATGAGTCAAACTCCATGTCTAATCAGGTCGTTTGTGACTCATTGAAAGGCACATTACTTGTTCCAATAAAAGAATCTGTATTTTTGCAGACGTTTCCCTGAAGTCTTAGCTCTTCTTTCATCTCTTTTCTTGAGTTAAAAGTACGGCACAAGTATTATGGATTTGTGTTACAGGAGAGCTTAGGGCTCCACTGCTCTCGGCACTGTGCAAACACTTAACAAAAAGACAGTCCTTGCCCTGAGGACTTCAGTCTTGCCACCCTCAGCCCACCTGCTGCACAAACTAACTTTGTAAAATGTCCACACTCCCCCAAGATGCCTGAGTCACTGTGATTCCAAACTAACACAACTAAAATCCATCTTTGTTAAATTCAAAACAGATTTAAAAAAAGCAAAGTCTATGATAAATTCACATGGTTTGGAGGTCTTATGTCATTTGTTTGATGTCCTTAATCTATAGTCTAACATTCATTTAGTCGCCTTAAATTCTCAGCCACAGGAAATTAGATTGGGAAAGTTTGCATCCTCCTCACAAACTCATTACACTTACAGAAACAGAAAACATTTGTAAAGTAGATAGATCACTCCTGGTATAACCTAGCAAACCCTCATCACAGATACGTTCTAGAAAGAAAGCATATCTGATTTAGCAAGGAAGCCACAGACTATCAAATGTGCTGTTAATTTAATGAAACCTTTTTGCTTAAACTCAAGTGCCTCCTTCACATTAGTTCTAAGTAAATCAGTTTAATTTTACAGAAGCAAACATAATGGATAGCAGTAGCAGTCAAGATCTCTACACCCCATTCAATGTAACTGGAAGGAATGCAGACATGTGGGGAACAGAGAATATCGGCTGTCACCAGGGCAGGACAAAGGAGCAAGTGGGTGGTTGTAGGTTTTGTGGTTTTGGACTAATCTTTTTTCCAGCTTCCATCTTGTAGAAGCTAAAAATTTTAAACGGGATTGTCTGTTCTGTTACGGTAACCAGTGTTCTCGTGTTCTCTCTCTCTCTCTCTCTCTCTCTCTCTCTCTCTCTCTCTGTCTCTCTCTAATAGGGGCTGATTTTTAGGTTCAAGTTCTTGATGCTCATCACTCTGGCCTGTGCAGCAATGACGATCATCTTCTTCATTGTCAGTCAGGTGAGTGTGCTGAAACCAAACTTGGTATGATAGAGTGCAGTATCCAGATTCCTAGGTAGCCAAGATATTGGCTATATCCTACTTCAGAGGACACAGGAATGCATAGATTGTAGGCGGGGCTGGTATCCTCTTATTATTAAGGCTGCCTGATATTTCCCATTATAAGACCCTGTTTTCAGTTGTTTGACTTTGGCAAACTTAAACTGTTTGGGCTGAAATTTTTCATACTGTCTGCCTCAGGATAGCTTTTTCCCTGTTCTCCCCCCCCCCCCCCTTTACATTTCAGCCAAAATGGTTTAACCATTTGCAATATGAAGGGGTGGGGAGGGTGGTTTGTCCATGTGTTTAAAAAATTCTGGTGATCTTTTTCTTTGAAAATCTCTAATATGTGAGTATGCAACTATAGACTGTCATAATGCATGTTCACAAGGGGGCCGAATTGAGGTTGCATAGGCAACCTTAATTCTAAGAACACAAGAACAGCCGTACTGGGTCAGACCAAAGGTCCATCTAGTCCAGTATCCTGTCTTCCGACAGTGGCCAATGCCAGGTGCCCCAGAGGGAACGAACAGAACAGGTAATCAAGAGATTCACCCCGTATTGCCCATTCCTAGCTTCTGCCCAACCGATTAGGAACACCATCTCTGCCCATCCGGTCTAATAGCCATTGATGGACCTATCCTCCATGAACTTGTCTGGGTGTGTGTGTGGTTTTTTTAATTCTGGCATTTAACTTTTGAGTACTTGATTTTTGCAATCTTAAATGCTCTTAACAGTTTTTTGGGCGTGAGGAAGGTGTAGGGGTGTGTGTGTGTCTTCCCTCTGAACTTGGATTTAGCCTATAGATAGATATGTGGATATACAATTATAATAAAAATATAGTATATTGGGCTATGTTTTAAGTTGCACAGATAAAACCCCATGCACCCTCCTGAAGGTCTACCCCACAGTATTCCTCTGAGAATAAGCCCCCTCACTCTCCTGACCAGTTCCCAGGACTACAGCCTCCCAAAATGACTTTCCAGTGTTAAGACGTTTTATTGGTCTGATAGAAGGTGGCAATCACAGTTGTATATAGACATGTAGGCTTTAGTTGCAGAAATACAATGGATACACCTTTATAAGTTAATAGTCAAACGCCTTTCTACTTTGAAAGTAGAGCTGTTCTGAAACTTTTTCGTCCGAATTTTCTAAAGAGTAATACTCTTTTCCTAAGGAAAATGTCAGTTGTAGGACAATTTCAGTTTTGCTGGGGGCGCGGGGGAGAATCTCTTCTCTTCTTTTCTATAGGGGAAACTGAAAAGACCACTCCCCAGCTAGTCACTGGGGTGGGGGGGACTGACAGGCCCAGTTCTTTGGCTGCAGGAATTGGGAGGAGTGGGTCAGTTTCATTGCAGGCAGAAAGCAAAATTGATGAGAGCCTCCCAGATGGGCAGCTAAAAGATTCAGTTTTGGGAGAAGCAAAATGAAGTTTTTCTTGAAATCCTTTCCTGTGAGAAATTTTGGATGTTTCATTTCTGCTTGTGATGAAAACTTTCAAAAAGTGAAATTTTTCACAGGAAGGGATTTTATTTTCTTGCCAGTTTTACTTGTAAGCACTTCTGCTGAGTCGTGCACAGAAGTACCCTCAGACATACTATATTAGAGAATCTAGCAGCTGCGTTCCCTTTGCTTATGGAAAACAATGCCATAGTCTGATTGGCATGGTAAGATGACTCTGATCTAAAAATCTGTTCAGTTGAAGCAATTGGCTTGAAGTTCTACCTCAAATCTGGCAAATCATTTTGTCTGGCTACTTTCATCAAGTTTGGTATTTTTGTTTGTTTAAAGGCTATGTTCTGCCACTGTCTTTTTCTTTAAAGCAGAGCTCCTCATTTTCTATAGGGAATTCTGCTTTAAAGTCAATGGTAGGCTATGGCCCCAGATGACTTGTTAATTTGGCTTTTAAAAGGGAAGGCAGTCTTAAGGTGCATAGCTCATGCATTTCATTGTTTTCAAAATATTAATATTAAATGACTGTTTTCTTAACTCTCCATAGAGTCTCCTGTCTTTCTTTATATCTGGAGCTAATGCTATCAGCCATAGGTCTCTGCTGTAAGACAGAAGCAGAGACGTGCTGGATGCCATTAGCTCTTTGCATTATTCATGCTGTTTTCTTCTATAAAAGGTTTATTTATAGACCCTCTAAAGTTTCCAGATGTAGCCAGTCTCCCAGGTACTGCTCGATTATAATTCTCCTCTCACTATAATCTTGTATGACTGGAATGATCTAACTTGAATGTTCTGAGATAAATTTTGTTAGTTTTTAAAAAACAAACCAAAGATGAATAAAGTTTCTAATACAAATCTTGTTGCAGGTGCCAAGCCTTATAGATTAGTGGCAGGGGAAGAGACTTTTTAGTATAGACTTTACTTCCATGTGTTTGCTGTCTGGACATGAATTGTCCATGTGCTTAATTCTGTCTAATTTCAAATTTCTCTGTATCTGCTCTTAGAAACATGTACTTGCTCATCATAGGAGGATTCTCCTAACCTATCTGTCCCTGTTGAATCTCTGCTTTCTTGTGGACAGGTGACTGAAGGCCATTGGAAATGGGGGGACTTCACAGTACAGGGGAACAGTGCCTTCTTCACAGGCATCTATGGGATGTGGAACCTCTACGTCTTCGCTCTTATGTTCCTATATGCTCCATCGCACAAGAATTATGGTGAAGATCAATCAAATGGTAAACTGGGCTTTGGTGTGGCTCTTAATTGCATATCAATACTAACTTGAAATAGTCTGGGGACTGCATTGTGTAGCTGTGGTGGAGGAAGTGAAAGACAAGACTGAGGAATGGAACTAAATAGTTTTGTTTACTGAGTTTACAGTTGGTTTCCCTTGGAATATCTTTCAGTAGCACAGTGGCTCTCCAGCATTAGCTCATGTAACAGTGTTTGTTTGGACTGAAACCACTGCAAAGGAACATTCTTCTCTTCAAATGAATTGAAGGAATCATGGAAACCCTTTTTAGGCCTCGGTTTTAGAAAAGCTTGTTTCCAAGACCCAAACTCTGGAGAAATTTAATGGCAATCACTCTCTAGTTCCCAGGTCCTCCTTTTGTGCATCACACTGAAACATAGCTTTGTATTTCAGGTGATCTGGGAGTAAGTAGTGGGGAGGAGCTTCAGCTCACCACCACCATCACCCATGTGGACGGGCCAACCGAGGTTTACAAGCTGGCTCGCAAGGAGGCTCAAGAGTAACTCCTGGAACGCCTCACTTGGGACAAACACAATGAAGTACAATACACAGATTGAGACAACGTCCTCCTTGAGGAGACATCAGAAGTAACTCACTCTACAAATGCCCAGTATTTATAGTGTTCACTGAGCGGTGGCACTAAAATAGAACCTTTGTAATCTCTCTCTAATATGGTGTAGTTATCTCTGGGGGAGGGCAGGATATGTATTTTATATTTTACAGACATGCTAAACGAACACTAAGGGTGCAAAGTGAAACGTTCAAGAGTTAAAAGCCAGGATTAATGTTGCCTGCAGAACCTTAATTTGGCTCCTTGTGTGTATGCAGGATGATAGTCTTTAATTACTGGGGGTTTTACACAGGACCTCTGCCTCATTCAATGCACAAAATGGACAGTGGAGGTATCACTTAAGAGGAGGTATTTAGTATTTTGTCATCTTTTTGTGTGTAATTTCCTCAAACACACAGAAAATGCAAAATTATATTCTGTATCTAACCATATTGACACCACCTTCAGTGCCCCCCCCCCCCCATGGCAGGGTTCAAACCTTTAGACCTGTAGCACAGACCACTGCCACTTAAGCTAACAGTGACTGGTAGCAGTAGTAGGCTGTTACCTGGTGTGTGGACTAGGCACTAAAGGGGGAAGAGATGCACTCTTTACTAGTGGGTTTCACAGCTATTTGCTGATAGAGGAATGTAGGAACTCTGAACTCCTGGATTCTTTTCCAAGTCCTGGAGGGGAATATACTCTAGTGGTTATAACCTTTCTGCCCTTATCCCCCAACTTTCCCGTATCCTCCTATCTGCCCCACTCCCATTGGGCTCCTGAAACCCCTTCCCTCCCCACCCCTCCTTCCTCCATTTCTCATTCCTCTGCATTCCAGTGATGGCTCCTTCTCATCCATGATGCCTGGGTGTCAGGAGTGGGAGCATTGAGGACACAGGAGAGAGTGTCTCCCTCTGTTCCTGTGCCCAGTGCCACGGCATCCTGCAGTAGCTGGGAGGAGCAATTGCAGGGCAACTCCTGCTCAAAGACTACAGCACTAACATGGAGCATACTCAGAGATGGAATGTCTGGAGAACTTAGCTGCCAAATCTGCACTGAGCATGTGAGAACCAATATTTTTCAGTGTCTCGTAACTTGGCCAAACTTCCTGACCAGTTCTTAGACTCTTTGGGGACTCCACAGTTGAGCAGGACTTTCCCTGCAATTGCTGCTTTTGGCTGCTGCGGGATGCTGTAGTGCTGCACATGGTATTAAGTCCTGTGCTCTCCCTGCTAATGCCCAGGCAGTGTGGAGGAGGAAACAGCCTGATTTCAAATGCAGAGAGGATGATCCAGACCTGGAGGAAGAGAGAGTGGACTAGGATACATGTGGATTGGAGGTGTGGGGGAGAGGGACTGACTGGCTGGGCAGGGAGATTAGGAGAAGGCGCTAGAGCTGTGGTGAGGGAGAGAGGAAAACTAAGACAGGCATAGGTTGGAGGGGACTGGGGCGGAAGGGGAGAGGCTGAGAGAGATGGGCAGAAGGGTCTGTGCCCACTAGAGTGCATGGAATGGATTCCTGAGTGTCTCATTCCTGCTGTCAGCAAATATCTTTTGAAACTCCTGGCAAAGTCTGTGTCATCCCCCTCGAGCTTGGTCCATGCAGAGGATGAGTCTACTGCTGTCGGTTGCTCAAGTAATAGAGGTTTGTGCTACGAATCTAAAGGTTCCAAATCTGCTCATGCATAAGGCTATGTTTTTGTCACTGAGGTCACAAAGTCCTAGAATCCATGACTTTCGGGGACCTCTGTGACATTCTCCGCTTCAGCCCCATGGGCTGCAGGACTCTGGAGCTGACAGCCAGTGGGGCCCTGGCAGGGTTCCAGTGACAGGGGCCCCCTGGATGGTTCCAGCAACAGGTTAATAGACTCCTGAGCGGGCCCTCCTTAGGGTTTCAGCAACAGGTGACCGCCTTGCATGGTGAGAGGGGGACGCCTCAGGCGAGTGGCTGGGGTTTCCCGTTTTCTCTCTGGGAACTATGGTCACCCTGCAGCTCCCAGCTGCCATGGGCAGAGGGGGGGGCACAATCATTTTTCAGTTGGCTTTTTTTTTTTAAAGCCTGGGAAATTTCACACCATAAACTACAGTAGTGCTAAGGTTGCAAAGTCAAGCACTCAGAAGTTAGGAAATGCCAGTATTAAGCTTGCCTGTGTAACCTTAATATGACCCTCTTCTGCATACACATTATGATGTAGTTTTTAATTAATGATCTCGCACTATTTCCTGCTCCCCATAGGCCCCCTCTGCCTTATCCAGTGCAGAGGATGGACCAGCTGTGGGGATAAATCAGGGATGTGTAGTGAAGGATGCTACTGGCTGTAGCATCCCCATCACTAAATGTGCGTGTTTCATTTTCTGGCTGCTCACCTTGAGGTACCTAGGACCAAATTTGCAGAAGTGCTAAGTGCTCCAACTGAAGTCAAGTGGTGCTACACTTGGAGCATAGATTCTTAAGCGCTGTGAAAATGCTAAACCTCTTAAACAAGGCTCTGGGCTTCTCAAATTTGGTACCAAAAATTAATGGACACTTTTTGACAATTTTGGCCATAATTTCTGTGCCTCAGTTCCCCATCTGTAAATGGGTAAATGCCACGTACGTGTGTGTGTGTGTGTGTGTGTGTGTGTGAGAAAAGATCCATGTATTAGTGTTTGAAGCACTCGGAGAGCACTAGGAGGAAATTGTTAATTTTGTATCCAGTGCAGAGTTTGGATGGGTTTTGTCAAATAAAGCCTGGATCCACATTGAGGAGAATAAAAGAAGATATTGAATAAATATATGCTCACACAATGAGGCCGGGGTCCTCTGGAGAAAAATATAGATAAGCATATAATTAAAGACTGTAACATAAAACATATATTCCCAAGGGGGTAGAGTTGAGTTGCCCTTCCAACCTCAATTCTAGCATTTCACAACTTTTGAGAGCTTGACTCTGCAACCTTAATGTTACTTTAACTTTAGTTTTTATGTAATATCTATATACCTAGAATTAATTCATCTTGATTTCTTTTATAGTGTAGTGTAATGTTGCATGTTGTAAAGATTGATTTACGAAAGAGTCATTGCAGCTTTAAAACCAAATCTTGTGTGTCCAACACTAACAAATCTGTTATGGTGTAGATATCTTTTTTTTATATTTGCTAAACTAAGTGCCACTTGCGTACCAGAAACAGCCCCTGGGTCTTATTAAATTGTTTGTTGTATGTTCACTTTTTACAAAATGCTTTAAGCAACCTGGAAAAAATGTAGTTTTGTTAATTTAAATAAAATATACAATATTGTGGGTTTGTTGTTTCATTGAGTGAGAAGAAATTGTAGCGTTTTTTTGGGTGTCTTTTTATGGTTTGTCTGCTGAACTACAGTGGATAGACCAGTGGGGCGGAACTGCGCTTTACTGGAGACCTGAATTTCCCACCAAGCCACTGATCTAGTTCTTGGTGATCTTTTTCACCTTAAATTCTAATCATTGCATTTGTTATGAAAATGCAAAACTGATTTTTTGGAAGCTGGAATTCTTTTGCATAACTCGTTATGAGGCAAGATGCCTAACGTAAGCAACTTGTCACTTCAAATGTTAGTCTTAAAGGTGCCACAGGACCCTCTGTTGCTTTTTACAGATTCAGACTAACAGGGCTACCCCTCTGATACTTCAAATGTGATGAGATGCTGAAGAGCAGTACTTCAGTGGCTGAACTCATTCTCTCTTTAATCCCTCACATTAGAAGCCGTTATGTTATCAAAGTAACTTGGGTCTTGCTTACACCGGGCCAGATCCAATGCTTTTTGAAGTCCATGGGAACTGAAGAGGGGCTGGTCTCAATATCACAGGTATTTGGTGTTGGACCCTACAGCTAACTGGAATCCCCCTTCTGTTTTCTTGTACTTCAAACTGACTTTCCTAACTAGTTTGGCATGTACATCTGCCCAGGGGTATTCTGTGAAGGGAAAGCTAATGTAGTAAGTGAAATAATTTGAACTGACAGTTAAACTTATGGGAGACCATTACCCACTGCTTGAGCTACAAGGTGAGATGAGATTGATTGATTTATTGGCATGCTATGACATTGTTTTTTGAGAACTAGGAAACTGTCAGGAAGAGTGAGTTCCCTTGGTCAGAAAGTGTTCAGAGCTAAAACCAAAATCCCCTTCTCTGATTAGGCTTTCTTGCAATAGTACCCTCCCTTTCATACTAATGTCCCCAAACACTCCCAAGCCTGCTCCTTGCTAGCAGAAAATGAAGCCTGAGGTGCCGTTGGCAGTTGCCCTTGTAGGAGGCACTTGGCTGTTACAGTGATTGTGCTGCAGGGGAGCATTTCCAAACAGAGGCACCATGCTCATATTATATGGTTTCAGTCTCGCATACACTGTTCTGAACCCTTCCTATGCCATCAAACAGCACGGAGCACGAACAAGCGTGCTGCTCTATGACCACTTTAAAAAAGCTAGCAAACCTGCAGAGCTTTCCTAAGTACATGCTGCCAGCTTTATTCAACAGAACAAGGTAAAGTACTTTTTAACACCATCCTAATTAACAGACTATATAAGAATGACTAGCACCAGGGTACAAACTGCTGTGCCTTCTTAGGGTACTTCAGGGCATGGTGTCAGTTAGGACTGGTTTATGCAGGAAACTTTCATCGGCATAGCTACATCTCTCAAGGGTGCAAAAAAATTCACACCCCTGAGATGTAGTTAAGCCAACCTAACCCCCGGTATAGCTGGGTCACTGGAAGATTTCTTCTGTCAGTCTCGCTACTACCTCTCGGGGAGGTGGATTAACTACAGCAACTGGAGAACCCAGTCCCGTTGCTGTAGTGAGGGTCTACCCTGTAGCGCTAGAGCAGTGCAGTGGTGGCACTGGAGTTGTGCTACTGTAGCATTTTAAAAGTTAACATAGCTTCAGACATAAGACCATAGTTTGTTCAATACTGGCAAGATAGCAGAAGGCATGAACTGTGCTGCGAGACTTGTGCTTCTGGAAGCACCTGGAAAGGAGCTGGAGTCTTGTTTACACTTAGGCCTTGAGCAGTAGCCATTATGCTTCCAAGCAGGCTTTGTACATTTTACTTGTCTGTCTCGATCCCATGGACCTTGAGTTTTGTCACAATTCTAGGTGCAGTTCACCACATTCGTAGTGTGACTTAGTTTACAAAACCAGCTGTACACTAATGCACCACTACAATGAGTTGAAGGCATCTGGAGTACCCTGCGTCTGGCCCACATTAAATATAGGAACCCAACCCTGCATTTCTTATGCACCCAGACTTCCCTTGTCTTCAGTGGGAATCCTGGGTGCTCAAAGGCAGGGCGAGGCCCAGCTCCCCCTCTGCACCTCTGCCTGTGATGGAATGTGAAATTAGAGGTTGCCAAAAAGCATCACTGTAATCAAACCTCCTTTGTAACTTCTGTACTTAGTTGATGAAACAGTATTAA